GAAAATTCTTGCTTCCATATCTAGGACAGTGAAAGAACAAGACGACCTCGGTACATCTTATGCCAGAAAACAATAAAGTCTTCGGATAATATCGAGCTTGTGGAAAGGACTTAAGAGTCAGCTTGAAGCGCTTCCCTCTGGCCAACAGGAGGGAATTGTCCGGAGGAGATGCTATGGGATGAATATTTTTGTCTCCTCCCAAATTCATATGTTGAAGCCCTAACCCCTAATGGGGTGGGGTTTGGAGGCAGGGCCTTGGAGAGGTGACTAGGTTTGATGAGGTCATGAGAGTGAGGCACTGATAAGAAGGGACACCAGAAGCTCTCTCTTTGTTTCTCGCTCTCTCTCCAGGTGCACATGAAAAAAGGATATGTGAGCACCCAGTGAGATGGCAGCCACCCACAAGCCACCAGAAGAAGCCTCAGAATGAAACCTACCTTTACAAGACCTTGTTCTTGGACTTGTAGCCTCCAGAACTGTGAGAAAGAAGTTTCTGTTGTTCAGGTCAACCAGTGCATGGTATTTTGTTATAGCACCTGAGCTGACAATACAGGAGACAACTGAGCATCAGAATAAATTAGGAATAAGATGAGACAGGAGCCCATGAGTATATACTGATATAAATCAATTAGTGAATAAATAATAAGGGAGAGAAAAGGAAAAGCTGTTTCTTACAGTGAATGTCAATTAATAAATGTAAAAGGAATAGCAACACTGGAGTTCTGTCTTGACGGCCTATTAGTAACATTCAGGTAAGGAAGATTAGTGGATGAAAGTTTGATAAGGAGCAGGATAACTGCTTAATTTTGAAACACTTTCCTATAAAACAGCTTATTTGTTACAAAAGGAAAAAAAGGAAATTTACAAAGAATTAAAGAAATAACCTGATAACCCAAAGTGAATGTCACCAAGAATGGGACAAATGGACACCAAATATCTCCGGGGTGTGTGCCATCTTACCAGGTGCAATAGGACAGAACATCAGTTTTAGGTGATTCCTCCCCAAACTGCTAGCATGGATCTAACCACATGGAAACCAAACAAAGTGATTGATCTGTAGTCTTCAAAGTCTCCACGTCATAAAAGACAAGACAGACTGAGAAATGTCTGCAGGTTAATGGACGTGTCACCCAAATGCAACGAGCCGTCCTGGATTCGACCCTGAACCTACAGAAAAATAATTATGAAGGAAGTTATTCAGAAGATTAACCAGACGTGAACATGAGCTACGTTTGGTCAATAGCGTCGTCCGGATGCCGGATTTCCAGGTTTTTATTTCCGTGCTGTGGTTCTGTAAGAAGTGTTCTTCCTCTTCTTCCGTATTTAAGGGGTGACAAGGCGTCTGAGACTTACTTTCAAATGGTTCAGAAAAATAAACCAAACATGGTGCGAGACAGTGAGAGAGAGAGAAAGACGAAGTAAATGGGGTAAATTAGTTACAATGGTAAATTTGATACAGAATTTACAGGAGATCTTTGTCCATTCTTATGCTTTTTTTTCTTTTGCTAGTTTGAAATTTTATCAAAATTCACGGTTACCAAAAGGAAATATCTCAATAAAACAAAAGGTAATAAAAAAATTATAAAACAACTTGTAGGAATTCCTACTTATCCTATATACATATCTATTCATATATATTTCAACTATGTGCGTGTGTGTGTGTGTGTGTGTATACACGTGTATATGTAGAAGTTCACAATTCAGAGGCTGTGTTAAATGACGTGGCATCACGATGTCCACACCAGAATGCTCTCCCGGGTCTCTCCCACCCTGTGATACAGGGAAGGCTTTCCTCCTTTCCCACAGGCTGGGTCGTGACACAGGGTGGCCATCAAGCCTGCACAGCTGCGTCTTGATGTTTAACTGCCCCTGAGGCTGGAGCCATCTTTGGAACCCTGGGACAGGACCCTTCCAGCCCCAGGGAGCAGCAGTTGGCCTCACACCGCCAGCTTCTCTGGACTGCTGGAAGGCTTGGAGCTCGACTGTCGGGCCTCCCTGCTCCACCGAGACCTCCAGGAGGGGAAACCCGGGGACTGCTCGTGTCACTATGAGCAAAGACAGAGCTCCCTTATTCTGTCGGATGAACAATTATAAGCCCCTACAGGATGCCTCAGGAAGGTATGTAAAGCACACGCCTGCAGTGTTTTTCCCAGTAAATTTACCACTAATAACACAAGTACACTGGAAAAAACCATATGAGTGTGTTTATTCTTAGAGCTGGGTTTCAGGGCTTCTGCTTTCAAAAGAATAGTTTTCCTTAGATAAATTTCCGTTTTCTTTTCTTACAAATTGTAGTGGGAGATGGTGCTCTGACACAGAGGTAGCACTATGTTTAAAACACATCATGAAATTAATGAACTAGGAAATTAACTGTGTTTATTACTCTTAAACATTCCTCACCTCACGTTCTTGATGTATCAAGTCTAAAGTTTTGACTGAGGCTTCAAATTGTAACAGTTTCTGTAAGTTAACTCTTTTTTGTGTGTATTTAGCAATAAGAACAAAAAGTTGTGTGCCTGCAATGTGCAGATGTGTCTGTCTGTCTATCTCTGTATCTCCTGTTATGTATACACACACACACACACACAATTTTTTGAATGTATATATTTCGGATCCTTTTAACTCCTCTGCCAGTTAAATACCTACATGTGAATACCCCATTTTGTGCCTTCATTCAGGGATTTCTTTTTAGCATACTTAGGCTCACATAAATCCTAGGAGCTAGAACCAAATTGGTTTCCAGGAATATGTGACCCGATACTGACATTACTTTCACTGTTGTGTTTGTTTCCTGCGTATGTTTTGGCTTGTGCTTGTCTTGTCTAAACTTACCTTTAATTGTGGTTTGTTCACGGGCAGTTATTTCCTTTTGATTTCCATAAGAATTTGTTCAAACATTGTGCCCAGTTTCCTTCTTTGATTATTCACATGCTGGAAAGCCCGCCCCAGAAAATATGTATTTTTTTTCTGCTGGAAGCCCTGTGTATCGTGTATTACATGCAGGTATATTTGAAGTGCAGCCTTATTTCAATAAGTCCCATTATCATTACACTTATCACAAAAGCATCAGAATTGAGCCTCACAAAGTTTCTGTAGATCAGCTTTGAAGAAATGTATTTTTCAGGTACACCAAGTTCAGTATGAGAATCCGTGATGTTGCCTCTTATGCTAAGGATGCAGGATGCTCTACGTATCATCATCCTTCGAGGACTGCTGCTTTCACGAAGATCAGCTGGAGTAGGGCTCCTGTATTCTCCCTGCACTTGGTCAAGAATTTTGATGGTTCCACCCCAGTCCTCGTGCTGATATCATCTGGAATTTTAGGTCCAGATTGTTATTTATTGACAGTATTTTAGGCTTAATCATAAATTACCAGTAACGTTGTCCCATGTTTCCCTCTTCATGAATTCAGTCTTTGTTTTGCACTAGCGTGCATCCTGGAGCAATTAATTCTTCCAGGAAAGTCTGTGTATAGTAAATTTTCTATCTCTTTGTGTGTTCAAAAGTAACTTCAGTTTGCTTCTATAGCTGAATTTTTATTTGCCAGCCTCAGAATTTGCTAGGGAGTGTAGGGCTAACCAGCTCAGTGACTGGGCAGTTC